ATATGTTACATAGAATAGGTGCACGAGACTAAAAGAAACTTGTTCTTTCTCAGTAAGCATACAATTGTAAAGAATTCAGAAAATAAACGATAGGTTTCACCAATATCTCATACATGTTAACTCCAATAAGAATGCAAGACCAGATAATTGTTAATTTGTTTGGCTTTCCCGACAAAATTTCCCCCCAAAAGAAATAGGTGTGCACAACCCAATTCATAGTGATGTTCATTTAGGGCACAAACTAAATAGCTGAGAAACATTGGGCTGTTTCAGGGTGCATTAAGACTAAACAAGTTTTTCTAAAACTTACCGTGACATTATATTTGAAGTAAAGATTGAGGGTTGTTATGAAGTAGCTGTATTCATCACGAATAACCGGAGATGAACAAGTTCCATGCTTCTCTGCATGTGAAAATGCAATACTTACAAGCCACAAGTGTAAATACATAGATAAAAGAGTATATATACTATTTTCTCCCTAAATTTTATGCTTGCGATTGATTGTTCATCATAATATAACCACATTATTTGTAGATATTTTCATTAGGTAAGCAGCATGTGCAAGGTTGCCACCAAAGTTAGCAAGATATACCTAAATAAAAGATCATTGTTACTTCCTTAGGCACCTATCACATTCTACTCTTGTTTCAAAGAAAATAAATATAGATGTTTTCATTTTAGTAATACTGAAAACTGCGCTCTAACACCATAGTAGCTGTCTAAAGGATTATCCATCCAGACATGATACCTATAAAGAATTATCATCGCAATATGAAGAAATGCATACAAAATACCACTTGCCATCATATCCAAGATGTTAAACCCATTACCAAGATCATTGATCACATATAAAATCTACTATGTCTAATCATAAAACATGCTAATCAGCTTTTACTCTTTCTGTTTAAAAGGAGGCAAACCTATAAACTGAACATGATAAGTAAATCATATGATAATTATACAACAACAAAAGCTGAAGATGTGTACCCCACTGCCAATGCGCATCCCAATTTCAGCCATCACAGAATCAAGAACGAAGCAATTATTAGTTTTTCATCATGGGGGAATAATTTAAAAACATATAAGATATATCCAACCAATAGCCACCTCATGAGCCCAAAATAACCCTTTTCCACTGAAGCAAGTTGATGATTTGCCACAATATAACGATGGCCAGTACTTCTCAAGTGCATCAAGCAATGTTGAAATCTACATACACTTAGAAACAAAGATCAGGCACCAGAGCCAAATGATTTGGAAAATGCTGAACAGAATACACCAAACAACTGGTAGAAAGAATATATATATATATATGGGGAATGAGAATTTATTAAGGACAGATGTTAGGATACAAATCAGGACACAAGAAAAATGTGTCAATATAACAGTAAGTTCTTATTTCAATTTTTGGAGTTGCAAATACACCCGAGATAGGTAGTTGTGCTATAAACTTATAAGACATCTCTACACAATAGATATCACAAAAATAAAAAGAAGAAACTATTGAACTGAATAATTATATTAATAAAAATATCAGAGTATCAAAATGTGTACTCTATATCATCTGGACGTGCTCACTATACGTGGGTGTCACTTGTCAGTCTCCAACATGCATAAAATGAGTAAATGATAAAAAGTTGCTGAGCAAACTTCAAAGCATCTTTATACATAAGCAAATTCCATAAAATTACATAAGTAACAGGGCATTAGCGGCAATTCAGATGCGGTAATCAAACATGTGGAAAGAAGAAATTGCAGATTATATAAAAGAAACAGCACACCTCTTTGACATCAAACTGAGATCGGGCACAACAGGCAGGCCAGGTTCCATCATTATAATCTGGCCACAATCCATCTACCAAGAAGAAAAAAGTACATATATATAAACACATTTCTTTCTATTCTCCCCAGCTCAGTGACGGATTAACATCTAGGGTGGAAAAAAAACTAAAATCTATTAATTATTGACCATGGTGTAGTCGATAAACCTAAACTATGGAAAATCGGTCTTCTCTTACTATAATACTTTGAAAACAAGAAAATTAAAACACGGTTACAATGCTAATTCTCAAGTTCCGGCCCCTTCTCACGTTTCCAGGAGTTAAATTACAGAGGGCAGTATTTGGCACAGAGTTTTAATTTTTTACAGATAGAATTCTTTTTAATACTCCAATGGATTTCAATCAAGAATCTCTATGTTCAAAAAAAATGATTAAGGGGTATCTAAAAAAAATTATTAGGGAACTTCTGAAATTGCTAACAGAAAAACCTAAAGCAATCTTTTAATGGTCTACGTGATAGTTAGCATAGAAACCATACAATTAATATCTTCAATATACAGAAAGGGAGTATATTGAAATCCAAACTCTTACGAATGGTAAATTCAGTTGGAGAATTTGAGCTGCCAAAAAAATAAAAAAAATTAACGAAAATTATCTTTAAAAAGATGAAATGGAAGAATTAAGTTGAATAGCTGATTTACTTACCCTCTGCAGCAGGCATTGGAGGAGCAGCAATGGCGAGTCTGGCGACAGATGGTGCCAGGCCATTGAAGAGACAAAGCGAAGTAATCGAACTCCCTCTGACCTCCTTTTATGCTTCCATTGACGCCTATGAACAACCAGGTAGCCATCATCAAGGCGAAACATAGAGGGATTTGGGCAGATAAGGACGCCATTTTCTTGGCCTTGGGAAAGTCGATTAAAATGTTTGGGATTCGGGGGAATTATATAAAAGAGTAATAAAAAATGAAGTGGGAGATGAGAAGGGTAGAGTTGTCATTTACCGTTGTTGCTTTACCGGACGAATTAGGTATGTCGGCGTACGCAATAATTCAATCGAATATGCTTCGTCTTTATTTGGTTCGTTTTTTCAGTTCTAAACGCCTAAAACACGGCCACTAGGACTACGACAGCGTTTTGGTCATATGGAATAATGTGATGAAAATGATAATTAAAACACTAAATTTGATTATGATATAAATAAATAATTTAAGTAATTCATTTCATGATTATCATCAAATTTAAATTAATTATTTTTATTTGTTTGATGATCATATTAATAATTGAAACATAATTGCCTGCAACGGATATTATTAAATTAGTTTAAAACATTAGTATATTAGTTGGTCTAATTGATTTACGTAACTAGTTTAAGACTTTAAGTAGAGGTATTTTATCGTCATGGAATCCGAACCCATCACACCACTTTGCTTTCTATATTCTTATGTTATAACTTCAATAAAATATTCATATAAATTAATCGATCAAATCAAATTTATTGATAATTGATGATTTATTTAATATTTATTTAGAAACTAGGAATTTATTAATTTAATTAGTAAATATTTTGTTAGATAATTTAATTATTTATATGTTGAAATATATATATATATTTTGATGCGATACTATTTTTAATTAATTTTTTTATTTATATTGTTAATTCTAAATTTAAATGTACACTTCATATTCTTCATATCATTTAATTATATAATAATTCTATTAATAATTAATTTTTATACCGATACTTATATACTAATTACTAAATACGAATAAAATTGAAAAGTCGAAAAAAGTGAGCGTTGTTACTCATATATATGTATTTTTAAAAGAAAATAAAATTATTTTAAGATTATTTATAGAAATATAATTTATTTTATTATGTTGCCAAAAGTATTTAAAAATTATATTTTTAACTCGAACCAAGTGACTTTGATGATAAAAGAATAATTATTATTCTATGATGTATCAGGTTCGAGTAATAAATGTTATAAGTTGATACCTTTCATTTACGGGTTTAATATCCAATATTAGTGAAATTCTCTTCCCCTTACCTTAGATTTTGATATTTATACACTGATCAGGGACCAATGGCGCATTGTCGCATTTTTCATTTAAAAAGTATCATATTTACTTTTAATTTTAGATTTTTATTAGTAATTTGAAATTTTTAACTTCCTTCTTTTTAAACCTATTAAATTTAAAATTTTATTTTTCTTAATTAATAACAATTCGATATATATATAATTTTTAAAAATTTCATTTCAATCTTTATAATTTTAATTTTTTAAATTTAATCACTGTGATAAAAGAAATTTATAAAACCAAACTAAAGTCATAAGCAACTGTTACCTCCTCCAAAAATATTGACGACATGACAAAAACTTTGGCCTATTTTTTTCCTACTGCGGCACGCAACAATTTCTATCTAGAATTTTAGATTTCATTAAAATCTCTAAAATAATTTTATTTCATCCGCGTTTCTTTAAATATTGAATGACATGGCTATATTCTTTCAAATGAATTTTAGTTTATGTATTGTTTTTATCACTAAATTTAAAAAAAAAACAATTGTTAATTTATTTAGTCATTGATGTCGATCAATAACCGTTTATTATAAGTCGCTATTCGCGACAAAATTAATATCAAAATGTTCATATTTTGCTTGTATTTATTCTTATCTAGTTGATTTTTTCACAAACCTCACTCAAAATAAACAGAAATTCAATTACTATAATATTGTCTAACGCCCATATGACGAGATTAGTGTCGAAGTAAGTTAATTATCTTATTAAAGTAATATTTTTTATTAAATTTTTAAACAAATCCCTCAAATTCAAGAAAGACTAAAATTAAAAAAATTGATAATTGTTAAGATTATATAAACTCAACTAATGGTAGAGATGATAAGACATTTCCATTTATTTTTAAGGTGATTGTAAAAAATATAGGAGAATTAAGATTTTTGTTGACGACTAAAAACAGATAAAATTTTAACTTTTATAAAAAAAGATGATAAGGAAAATAAAAAATTACTTTTAACTTCAAACTTTGCACCAAACTATCACATTATCGTATTGTTTCATAATTAAAGATCCAATACTAAAAACTAAAATCTAAATTAAAATTTAATGTTACAATTGAATCAATTTAAAATTTAATTGTAAAATCAATACTAAACATAAAAGTTAATGATATTTATCGTTGTTTACGTTAAAATAAACAAATAATGTAAATAAAAACTCCGAGATCCAGCAAACGAAGCTACGGACCCGCAAACCTGAGAGAAGTTTAAAAAAGGGAAATTTTATTAGCTTCGTCGTTCTCCTCCTTCCAAACCCTAGAAAAAAACTAAAAGTACCAACTTTCTTATTTTGCTTGCCTTAGAACTCTCTCGAACTTTCTCCGATCTACCACTTCTACCCTTCTACTCTCTTCAATCCCTTTCCAATTCCTTTCCCTTCAGCCATTGGCTCGCTCGTCATTTCACTGGTCAATTTCTCATCTTTCCCCCTTTTTTGTTTTAAATTTCGCGCGGTTTTGAATTTTATTTGAATTTGACATTTTTTGTAATTTCTTTACTGGTAGAGAAACGTGAGTGAGTTGAATAGAAGAAGAGAAAAAAAGAAGTTGAAGTTTTGAGCTTTGTTTGTCATGATCAGGAAAAGTATGACGGCAAACTTGCGATTCAATGTTTGAGGTATTCTTGATTTCTTTTAATGTTTCTTGTTGTAAATTTGTAATGATAAATTTTGACGGGGGACTTCTTTCTAATTTTTCTTTATATGTGTGTGTGTGTTTAGTACACACATAGAGTTCGTAATTCTTTGAGAAAATATTGTTTCGCCCGTCGTTCTTCATGCCCCCCACTCCCTGCGCGTAAAGTATACAAATACGAAGGTCCAAAAATAACGGGGATGAGAAATTGAGAAAAATGTAAGTTTGTAATTTTGGTGTCTGTTACGTGTAGAGTACTAGGCTATTAGCTGTTATCTGGGAATGACGAAATATTAGGTTATTTTTCTTAGTGGTTAAAGCGAATTTAGTAGCGAAGTTAGAGGAAACCATACTGGAATTACTTGTAGCTAGAGTGTCCCGTATGAGGTTAATTTAAACTGCTCAGTGTGCTGAAAGTGCCATTGCTTGAAAACTTGTTCAACTTATGACCATTAACTAAGAATTTAGAAATTATTTTTAAAGCTGCATATGCAATTATTTGTCTTGCTTTGGCAATTAATAACAAGGTATGCTGAACAGTTTAACTGGGGGAATGTAGTTTATAGTTAGTGGATCCATTTCTTTCTACTTAGTCCAAAAATGAACCTTTGTTTGGTTTTATGATTGAGGCTGTTGGTGCTTTGATATGTTTAATGCAAATATTAAATGTGGTTTTGCCTCCATTTTGCTTTTTGATCTGAAAACAAACGGTAATCTGATTACCAAGTTGCCTTTTATCAGTTTTACTTCGCATATCTTTTTGTACCTGTGATATAATTGTTTGAATATAAATAAATTGTAAGAAAGATGAGGGCAAAGAAATTAATTGCTACATTGGAGAACTATATTTGATGTGAAAGTTAGCTTTGGAACTTAAAAGTTGTAAGATTCTAGTTTTACAAGAGTGCAACAGAAGGGGAACAAAGTGTATAAAAGATGTACTTACTGTACGTATGCATGTGGCAAGCTGTCTGTGATGATTATGCTTAACTAACTTAAGATCCACTGAAATCTTTGTTTACCTCTATAGATGTTTTGAATTGATATTCATGGATGTTCTCTCTGACTTTTGGCTAAAAAATTGCAGTTGATGTTGGTACATTTTTCTTGATTCATTAACACATGGATCCTGAAGGCAAGAAATTTGGAGGAGGTACTATTGTTTAGATGCGGGTTTTTATTGCATTTTCTTTGTTTCCGTTACATATTTTTGGATTTGTTCAGTCTGTTTGAAGTTTTTAGATTGAGAATTTCAGAGTCAACTGTAATTTCATGTGAAGTTATTTGGTATTTACTATTTTTAGGGTTACATTTCTTTTTTCAACTGACAAGAAACTGTTTATATAAAAAAAATTAGGACCAAGGGAACTTAGCGGCGCTGTTGATCTTTTAAGTCACTATAAATTATTGCCTCACCATGACTTCTTCTGCAAGAGACCTCTTCCTGTATCAATCTCAGGCACACATTATCTTCATAATGTGGTGGGAGATACGGAAATTAGAAAAGGAGAAGGGATGCAGTTGGACCAGCTTATTCAGAATACACATAACAGAGACATTAATGCCCGTATACAGCCATTTGACCTTGATATTCTTAAGGAGGCTTTCCAGCTGAGTGAAACCACTCCTGTTGAATTGCCAGCGGTAGGAAATTTACTGCTTTGATACCAACTTTATTTAAATGATGGGTCCTAGGTATTATGCCAATTCAGTAAATTGGTAAAAGTTAAATAGTTATCTGGTGTGTATTTTTACATTTGAGAATTTTTTTCCCTTTAACATTCATAATTGGAGTTATTGACCATTTTGTTTATTTCATAGATTGAAAAAGGGATTCCTACTATTGCTGGGAAATCAAAGAGTGAAGATAAAGATAAAGAGAGGAAGCATAAAAAGCACAAGGACCGAGATAAGGAGAAGGATAAAGAGCATAAGAAGCACAAGCACCGTCATAAAGATAAAGATCGAAGTAAAGATAAAGACAAGGAAAAAAAGAAGGATAGAAGTGGGCATCATGATTCTGGTGCAGATCACTCAAAAAAGCACCATCCAAAGGTTGGAAGCTTGTTACCTCTTGCAGCTAGTGCTTGATTATTTGTTTGGCCCCTTAGGATAGTGGAAAAATCGTTAAGTCAACAAGTCATGAATCATGACTAGCAGACTATGACCCAAGTACATAAAATCAGCCCGTTAATTATCCATTCTTTTTTCAAGAATAACATTGCTTTTGAGCTATGCATGAGATATTTGATATTTCCTTTTTCATCAGTAAAAATAAGTAATTCTGTTGACGCCAGGAATAAACTACTGTGGTCTGTGTAACTATACCCATCTTTAATCTATCATCTGAACATTTATCAAAAGCTTTATTTTGAAATTAAATTAAATTTAAATGGAATTCCATGTAAATTTCTTTATAATTCATATATTTTCAGAAAAGGAAGCACGATGGAGATGAAGATCTTAATGATGTTCACAGACACAAAAAAAGTAAGGTAATGCAAATCAATCTGGACTTTGCTTTGTTTTGCTTCTTTATATGGATTATCTTTTATGTTTGTGATATTTGTAGAATCAACTCTTCATTTCTTCCCATAATAGTGCTCACAAACCTTGTTTTCTAACTATTTTCTCATCGTGCTAATTGAGTACATAATTAATTTGTTGCAGCATAAAAGTTCAAAAATAGATGAAGTTGGTGTAATTAAAGTAGCAGGCTGAAGGGCTGGCTCTATAGTTCATTTGTTGTCTCAGATGGTTAGAGATAGAGAGTGGGTGGGTTTGCTTAATGTCCTCTACTTTGCTTGAGGTGAATGAATTATCATGCTGTTATATTTATTTCTAACTGCAATTTCAGGTTATTCAAAATGTTATCCACTTATCCACTACCAATCAATTATTGAAGGCTTATTTCTAAATAGGTACATAAAGTATACAACATTTTTCATCCAAGTACCTAAAGTATTTTTTTTGGTCAAAGTAGGTATCTAAAGTATACCACCTTTTTCATCTAGGTATCTGAAGTGTTTTTTTTAGTCAAATAGGTAGTATACCATATTTTTCATATGGGCATATAAAGTTGACACTTGCATTGGTTAAAAAATATTTTAGGCACCTAACTAAGTAAAAAAGTGTTATACTTTAGGTACCTACTTTGACCAAAAAACACTTTTGATACCTATATGAAAAAGTGGTATACGTTAAGCGCTTACTTCGATAAAAAAATACTTTAGGTACTTAGATGAAAAAGATGGTATACTTTAAGTACTTATTTTTTAATCAAGCCATTATTGATATTAAAAAGTTCACTGAAACTTATATATGAATGTAACCCCAGATCTAGAATAATTTACTTCAACTCCCTATAATATTATGTGCTTCATGCTTCTCCTTTCAACTCGGGCAACCAAGGTACAATGAAAAAATATTTGTTAACACTGAATTTTCCCTTGTATAAATGGCAGATTTGGGATGGGCTGTGTTCTGCATAATGTTCTTACTATAGTTTTTTGAATTGTGTAAAAATAAAACATGCAGGGTAACTTTATACATGTAGCCAAGCAACTGGCTTGATAGGGCATATTGTTCTCAACTCTTTGTCAGTAAAATATGGCAAGGGTGGTGATTTGGCAGATCCACTAAATTAGCATTTTCTGGACTGAAAAGGTAGTGAAATGGCATTCATTTGACTTCTGCTTAGAATAAGTTAGTTAATTAGTTACACATTTCAAGTATTTTCAATTCTAGTTTTGGTGACAAAAATTCCAATGAGAAAAGGTAGTGCAATTACTGCTTCTTTCTCTTGTATCAATATATAAACATGGCCAGTTTTCTTGATAAGATTGAATTCTTTCCCCTTCCTACTGTTAATTACGTGACCTGTTATTATTATTTCTATAAGACAGACTCATTATTTTAGGGCTTGGGACTGGAGGTGGGGTTGGGGGAAGGGCGTCACAAAGGGAGTTAGATTTTAAAGGTTCTAACTCGCACTGTTTGGATGTTTTCTTTTGTGCAGAGTATCTTGTAAACAAAGGAATGTGTAGGTGAACTCATCATCCATTGATCGATATCTAATGCAAGGTATATGCTGCTGAACATGGTCTTTTTTGTATCATAAACATTGGCCCATATTTGCCTGTAACATTCAAGAATTTGATCCTTCTTTCTTTCTTGTTCTTTTTTTTTGTAGCATGTTGGATGACTGTGCTGTTCATTCTCATAATTTTATATAGTTAGAAGATTAAAAATCCTAATCCTGAAATGAATATCAGTTTGATTTAGGGCTGCCAGGTTTTGTTTTGTGGAAAGAACAGGGGCATATTGGGGCTGCTGTTTTTTTATCTTCCCTTTTTGTGGAGAATTTGAGCTATAAAATTCATTAACGATTTAATTAGCTAACATGAAAAAGAATTCAAGTAGATTAGATTCCTGATATTTACAGTTTTTTTCTTCTTTTTTGTGATTAAAGTTGTATAAAATAATTATGATAAAAACCCAAAACCAAAAACAAGTGTAAAGAAATATTGTTCTCTGTATGTCCTGTATATAGGTCCATGTTTTTGAAAAGTGTAATCGACCCATTCATGAAAGCATAATCAAGTAAAACCAAAGTGTTTTTTAAAACTGAAATTTGTAACTTCAGCCAAAAGTATAATCGAGTAAAATTATCTATTTGTCTTTATTTATATGATTTAAAAATAATATTTTTATCTATTTAGAAGTACTTTTAATAATAATGTTAAATATTTAAATTTTAGAATTAAAATTTATTAAATGAGCCATTTGCATAATATTATTGTATAAAACTAATATGTTTTTCCGCGCAAGTAATTCTTATCTCATATATATTTATATGTATCTAAAAAGTGGGATAACAGAAACGATTGTTTGAATTTGGGATTAATCTCTGACGTTCACCTAAATAGACATCATAGCTAAGATGTTTTTGGTTTTATCATGCACTGTAATAATATGACTCAGAAAACCATAACAGCTAATGTTCGTTTATGTTTTATAATTTCCTCAATCTTAGGCAAAGATAGCATCAATTGCTAATATCGGAAGACTTGATCTGCGTCTGCTTCACTGACTTCCCTATGTTACATCTCCGCCTCCATGCGCTCAAAAATACGTCTTGCTTCTTCCTCGGTCGCTGGAACTACGTTTCGCATCTTAAATCCATTCTTGGTAGCCTTCTCTTCCGGCCGGACAGTGAACGTGAAATAAAATGTATTTGATACCTGCATAACGGATGCACATACAGAAAGAAAAGAGAGAATATGCCATATATATAAACTGTGAAATTAATTAATGGTGGAATTTACATAGTAGCTTGCAAGGCTTATACCTCACTTGTTCTGATTTCGGGCCTTGTAACATGAGCAACTACTTCAACATTGATTAGTGGTTGATCGAGGTTCTCGAGTTCCGTGTACAGAACGCGTGACTTCAAACGAAGGAAATCGCCTACATCAACCTGCTCAAAAGTACCATGTATGTTATATCGGAGATGTAATTAAGTTGATGCTAAAAGCTCCATAGAAAGCAGGAAGGTACTTACAGGCCTTAAGAAATCAACATGATCAACTTCTAAAAAGCAAGGTACCAGCCCAGCAAATGCATAAGCAGTTGAGAAAGCTAACTCGAATGCTCGATGCATTAAGAAACCTCCGAAAATCCGACCATGGATGTTCCGCTGCTGTGGTTGGCAGATCATAGCATTTTCGAGACGGGTATCCCGTAAAAGAATGTTGTCTCTATCAGCTAAGGCAGGCATATCACAGAAGATTCGGCCCTCAGCCAAGAGTGCTTCCAGTCTATTCACCTCCCCATTTTCAAATTCTCTTCTATCCACTCTTTTCCTTTTTCTCAATTTGCCTCTCGTTTCAGCTTCTTCAAATAGAAACTTCTCATGTTCAGTTTCTGGTGAAAGCCGGTTAACTGGAGCAGCTTTCCCGGTCTTAGAGTCACGGGCCACGAAGATGAAGTTGGCCATTAGAGCTACTGAGTCCGAAACATCACAATTTTCTGCATGAATTAACTCATCTAATCAAAGTCTAAATCCTCATGGGCAAACTTCGAGATGATGTCTATAAATAAAAGACTTTCTGCAAAATCATACTGCTAGCAGCTGAGCAGTGTGATAAACTACAAATTATGCAACCTCGGTAGGGATGGTCATGGGACGGGTTGAACCGGTTTTTTGGTCGCCCCGATCCCGACCCAAAAATATTTACCTTATACCCAATACCGTCCCACCCTAACAAATTTTACCTTTTCTCCCGCCCGTCCCGATTTTTAGGATAAAACTCCGACCCGATCCGATCCAAATATATTAATATTTTAAAATAATTAAAAGAATACATTTTGTAACAATATATTTATAATTATTTATTATATTTTAAATTGTTAAAATAATATATTTTATAATAACTTTTATATTTTTAATAATTAAAAAATATATTTTAACAATATAGAAATAAAAATTCATAAGATATTAAATATTAGATATATAGAAGGATAAATTAATAATTTATATCGGGTCGGGTGTTTTTTCACCTTAAACCCGATATCGCTATGTCTCGAAGTTATATACTATATAACCCGTCTCGAACCCTGAAATTAAAAAAAAACCTATCCCTATAAGATCGGATTTGATCGGGATCCGTCGGATTCAGATATTTTGACCATCCCTAAACCTCGGTGCCATACCAAGACTATCAAAACATGTAACCAGAGCATAAACATCATGCGAGAAGCAATATCCTAAAAGCAATATCCTAAATTTGACGTCAGCTCTGGAAAAAGTATCGTTAAAGTAAAACGTTTCGCCATCATAAGATAGAAGATACTTCAGCACTGGAAGGTCAAAGTTGCATAAAATGCCAAGGAACGGACAACATGCTTCTACTTCTCGAAGGACAAAAGTATAAAATTATGAAGACTCGTTATAAACATGGATTTGAATAAGGGAAGATGTAAAAGTAGTAGGAAGCCTCAAGGAGAAATTATAAAGCTGATACATAAACAACCCATTGATGAAAGCAAATAAGGCTTTTAGGAATTCCAAGGTACTTTGTCGATTGAAATAAGTTATGGAAAGGAATCCATAAGGAATGTAGCATGATTGATAATGTAAAAGAGAAGTGAAAACTAAACAATGGGCAAAAGAGTCCATGCTTTGACTCGAATTTTCTTTGAGATTAACTACAAAGAACTGAGATTTCCTATGGCTCTCTAAACATTAATACTGTATTGACATCATGCTCTAATTTGCTATTATGATATATATCTGGACATTAGCAAATATAGAAGGAACGAATGGCATGGAATCACGGATACTTGATACTCAAAAACATCTCTGCAAATGTAGAATTCATATTTCATCTTAATGCAATTTTAATGAGTTAATCTTCAATTCGATTGATAAAATCCGCCCTTTTAAAAGCAGAAGCTGCGTTATAACTATAATCCAATACCCTAATTCATTTTCAAGAACCAGAATAGCATCTTGATATTTCCAACTTGCAAAGGCTAAAATCAAAAGTTTTAAGATTAAAGCACCTTTAGTGGACTGGATGACTTCTAGTTGAATCTCAATTGATGACCTGCCAACCCATATGACAGAACCAACTATTTTGAGATCAATGTCAACACTAATAGGCCTCTTCAAAACAATCTTGTCAACAGAAGCTGTAACCAGAAGAAGAGGCCTTGTTGTGCTATCATCATCTGAACAATGCTAATTCACAAACAAAGCACACAATTTTAGCCATTCAAGAGGAGAAAAAAAGAAAGAAAGGTTGCAAATTTACAACTCCCAAATAGCAAAAAGAATGAACTTTGTACCTTGACAGAGATAGTGCCAGCTAAAGCATCAAGGTCTTCAAACAACTTCCCAATTCTAACTTCATTCCAGGGATCCCTATACTGTTCTCTCAAGATGTAATCTGATGAGAAATTATAAAGGATGCTGGTCCTACTTTGAGAAGGGGTTTTGGTGAGCAACTCACTCTGTGGGGGAGCATCTTTAGGTGGGTCAAGGAGTCTCTCAAATATTTGGGACTTGGCTTCCCATAAAGCATTGGTTACTGGTGAATGGTACATTCCAGGCCATAGGCTGATGGGCTTCCTGGCGGAGCCATTGACTGCAGCAGAATTGTCAAAGGGGGATGCCAATGTTGAAACCACAGGGATGGTGTTGGGAGATGAGCAATTAGACTCCATGGAAAAATGGGAGATTTAGGTTTGGATTTGTGAAATTTGCTTTCTTTTCAGCTCGACTGAACACGAGCATTAAATGATAATTAGAAATATGGTTCTCATCTACACTTACCAATGCCATTTGGTTATTTGGGACAGTTGTAAGGAGTAAAGAGAGCTTTTCCTTGAACTAGAAACGAATAAATAAAGAAAGCTTAGCTGTAACTTTCTTCTTTAGTCTCATTGGTAGGAACTAGGAAATGTAAAAAATAAAAATTAATTTTTTTATTTATTTCGAGGATGTTATCCTATTTTTTTTAGGTTAACTAGCAAGTATCTCTCTCTATGATTTAGGAAAGAGAAATAATCTCAGTGACCAAAAATGTCTTATAATATACGATTTTAATCAATTGTTTTTCGATTTGCCAAAATGACCAACAAAATCGTAATGCGATCTCTAAATCGCAACGCGATCTCCAATATCGCAAATCATTTTCCAAATTCGCAACGCGATTTTGACTATCGCATTGCGATTTTCCAAATTCGCGTTGCGATTTTCCAAAATCGCATTGCGAATATGTAAATCGCAACGCGATTCTGACTATCGCAACGCAATTGTGACTATCGCAATACTGAATTTCAAATTCGCAACTCGATTTCTAAATTCGCAACAGGTTTTAGTTTCGCAACACAAATGTTTTGGGTATATAACCACGCAGCAGCAGCAACTCATAACCTAAATCCCTAAATCACAACTCATTCCATCTCCATCTATCACTCTCTCTGGCGACATCCGTTCCTATATCTAACGACATCCTATATCCAACGACATTCTTCCCTATCTGGCAACAGGTTTTAGTTTCGCAGCTCGTTTGTTTAGTAAATTAATTTACAATAATGAAATCATCTAATGTTGATCATGTTTGGATAGATTTGTGTTTTGGAGGGTCATGGGAGAATGTTCATAGTGTTTTACAATATATGTCTTTACCCATGAATCTTCAACTAAAACTGTCATTAAAAAGTTAAATTATGAAACTCTAATGTTACGTGTTGCAAATAAATTGAATTTAGAGCCCCTAAGTGGATTTAGGCTATCTTATCAGAGAAAAGGTAAAGTTTATTTGTTAACCGACAATGAAGATGTTGAACGATTCATTGCTTACATTAGTGTTTCACAAGATGATGTTACATTGTATGTTGTTGAACCTAGAAGTAGTGAAGTTGGGTCAGTAGCGGGTAGTAATCAACTAAGTTTTTCAACCCCAGTTTATGGTGCTCAAAATTTAATGGTTCCACCACAATTTCATCACCAAGCAAATTTTGTTTCACCATATTTCCAATACCAAACACAATGTCAAAACCCACAACCTTTCCCTAATCCAAATCCCAATCAACTTTCAGCACCAAATTCCGGTTTTTGTATTGACCAGTTAGACGATGATGAGCCAACAGAAAAAATTGTGAGTACTAGTCAGTATTCGAAATTTGATATTGGTCAATACCCGGACTTTGATCTTGGTCAATACTCGGATTTTGATGATGTTTCAGAAAAAGAAACAGACCCTGCGTGTAATGATTTTGATATTGGTCAATACCCGAATTTTGATGATGAAACAGCCGCTGCCGAGGAAGATGTTGTTGATGATAATGAGGAGGAAGTTACGACTGTGAATGAACATGTTGAACATCCATTCTGTAATTCATATAACCCTGGAGAAGAAAAAGAAGAAGAAGAAATCCCTGAAGAAAAGTCCCCGAAGAAAATGCCACGGGAGTATAACTGGAATATGCCAGAATTACTTCAGATACCGGAAGAAGAGTTGGTAAAGATAGCAGTTGATTGTTACACAAAAATTATTCGTATCAAGAAAGATGATTGTTTTGATACAAAGGAAGACTTGAAGATAGCTTTGTATACGAAATGTGTGGAAGATGGCTATCAACTAAAAGTTAACAAATCAATCAAAGATCGTTTCGAAACAAGGTGTATGATTGACAAAATTGTACGTGGTGTATGATTGCAAAGAGGATAAAAGATTGCAAAATGTTTCAAGTTAGAACTTTTATTGATAAACATACATGTTCAAGAACCCAAGTTTTTCCTCACCATAGACAGACAAACAAAAAGGTGTTGGTGGTTTTCTGGCTGAGTTAATGTTTTTGAATGGCAGGGTATATCGGGGACATGAAATTATGACTGATATGAATGCTCGGTTCAAGATTAGTGTCTCATATTCTCAAGCTTGGAGAGCCAAATGTTATGCCTTGGAATTGTTGAGGGGGTCGCCAGAAGCATCGTTTGCCCAACTGCCGGCTTATTGTCATAATTTAAAGCTGAAAAATCATGGGTCGGTAACTCATATCAAAACAGATAGAGATGGACGCTTTGAGTTGCTATTTATCGCCATTGGTGTTGCGGTTAGTAAATCAATATAATTTTGTTAACTCATTTTTGTTAGTTACATGCATTTCACATTTAAATGATTATATTTCTTGTGTATATTATTTTGTAGATTCGTTCGTTTATTACTTGCATGCACCCAGTTATTATAGTTGACGAAGCACATTTGAAAGGTCGATACTTTGGAGTAAATTTATTAGCAGTAGTCATGGATGCTAACAATGGGATATTGCCAATAGCTTACGGGGTTGGCAAATCTGAAACCTCTGATTCATGGACATGGTTTATGGGGCATCTTAGGGATTGCATAGGTCCTATTAGCAATCTGACAATCATATCCGATAGGGCAAACTCAATTGACAACGCTGTTAGAAGGTGTTTCCCAGATGCTTTTCATGGACTTTGTGGTGTTCATTTGTATAGAAATCTAAAATCAAGGTCTGCTGGTATAAAAAATCACAAATGGACATATTGGAAGGATGTAAAAGCTTATCGGGAAGTGGATTTTAATAAGCATATAAATTGTTTAAGACGTGTTTTGCCTCAGTGTGCTCAAACATTAGAAGATGTCGGGTTTGAAAGACGGTCAATAGTACATCAACTTGGAGCAATATATGGTTTCATGACGTCTAATAGTGCAGTATCAATCAACGCTCTAAGTCGTTATTCCCGGAAATTACCCATTACTATGTTAATGGAGTTTTTTCGAGCCTCTATTCAACAGTGGTACTACAAGAAAAGAAACTATGCATGTATTATTTCTTTAAATTCGTAACTTATCATATATTTTATTAAGTATTATTTATTTAAATTTACAGGAACATTGGAACATCGTGTTACACCATAGACTGAAAAAAAGATAACGAAACGTGTTGTGAAGTCAACGTCATGGAGAGTTGAACCATGTTCAAACACTTTGTTTGAAGTACTGGATAATAACTTAAATGGGCTTGTCGATCTAAATACAAAGACGTGTAGTTGTATGAAATGGCAAACATCTGGTTATACGTATGGCTATGTTATAAAAGTTGCTCTTCATCTAAACCAAGATGATTCAAGCGCATACGCTATGGATTGCTACACTACAGAAGTATATCGACAGACTTATGCTGAGATTATCTACCCTATTCCACATCCTTCTGAGTGGGACATACCAGATAACTTACAAACAGTTTTGCCACCAGCCATGAACAGAAGGCTACCTGACTGACCAAAAAGTCACGATCGTATACCGTCTAAGGGTGAAGAGACGAAGAGATCGACATGTAGTCGGTGCAAGGAAAGTGGTCATACAAGGTTGATATGTGGATCACCAGTGCCATCACAATCATCTTTTCCTCTACCAAAATATGGATCCTCATCAAAATCCAAAGCTCATATGGTGTCAAACGAAAGGCAATCAAAATTGCAATCAAAATTACAATCAAAATCAAAATCCCAATCACAACCGGCTTCACCTTTTGGGACTATTAACTTAGGTGATTTTTAAATGCAAATGTTGTATTATGTGCATTTTATGTGTAAACTTTTAACATTTTCAGTTAGGCATGTATTAGTAACTTGAGTTTGAACATTGCTATGATCTGTTCAGTTGTTATCACTTATTACACATTCATTTGAATATCGCAATGCGAATTTGACTATCGCAAAGCGAATTTGACTATCGCAACGCAAAAATCGCAACTCGAATTTGACTATCGCAACGCGAATTTGATTATCGCAACGGGAATTTGACTATCGCAACGAGAAAATCGCAAAGCGTATTTGACTATCGCAACGCGAATTTGACTATCGCAACGTGAAATCAACAAATATGATGCATATTGAAATCAACAAATCAACTTTTACATTTCAATCAATTAAACAAGCACAAATAAGAATTATTTATACATCAATTAAACAAATCAACTTTTACAAATCAATTAAACAAGCAAAAAATAATAATAATTCTTATTTTCCTCATCAATTAAACAAAAATCAACTTTTAAGAATCAATTAAACAATAAAAAAAAGTGTACCCCAGACAGTTGTTTATGCACCCATACATCAATTTCACGCAGCTCACTTCAGGATTAACCTGCAGAAACCAAACATTTGCTCAAACAACACTTTCTACACATCTAAAACCAACAAACATCAAATTATTGAATTCTAGGTACTTAACAACACTTGCATTTGACTTACCAATTGTTTATGGACACTTTCATAACGCGGATGCAGGTAGGCAGCGTCTCGCATATATCGCTCTAGCCATAAAATGCCGAAACCACAAGCCTACTGCACCTCTATCTCTATCGGTGGGAGGTAGAAACTGTATACTTCCTGTCGTCAAACGCTCCAAGCACATGCATACGAGAGGACCACAATCCCCTCTGGCTCCCTGCGTTTGTTGTGGCACGGTCTCGTCTCTGATAACTGTAACATTGAACTTCTTTGGCTTCTTGTTTCCAGAATAAGGGTCTGTTTGTTTAGCTGTAATTGGTTTTCCAGAAAATGAATTACTGGAATTTGAATTACTGGAAAATGAATTACTGGAATTTGAATTCTGGAAAATGAATTACATTTCTGTAAAATGAATTACATTTCTGGAAAATGAATTACATTTCTGGAAAACATCTGGAAAACGTTTCATGATGTTTGGAAGATGTTATTTAAACATTTTTTCGGTATATTTTAGTGAAATAAAATTTTATAAATTATATTAATTATTTATTAAAGTAATAGTACTATATTATATTTTAAAAATATTAATTAGTATATTTTAATATCTTTACTAAAATATTATTGAAATATATAAATAATATTATTCATTATTAAATATATAAAAAATTTTATTATATATTATTATAATATAATTGATTATTTTATATAATATTAAAAATATAATATTATATTATTATAAATATTAATAAATATATTTTAAATATTTTAATAATTAATATTTTGATGAAAATGATATTAAAATATTTTATTAATATTAAATTCATAAAATAAAATTATTTTGAGTATTTTTGCTTTGAAGTGAAAAGTTCGGAAAATGACTTACGGAAAATGAATCCGTAAGTCATTTTACAGAAAACACAAAGGAAATTCTGTTACTAGGAAAATGAATTACATTCCGGAAAACGAATTACGTGAAACAAACACGGGAAAACGTTTTCCGGAAAACGAATTACGTGAAACAAACACGGGAAAACATTTTCCGGAAAACGAATTACGTGAAACAAACACGGGAATTCGGGGAAAACCAATTCCGTAATTCCAATTACGGGAAACAAACAGACCCTAAGTCCAATAATTAATCGCATCCAATAATTTAGCCAAATGAGAGCTCCATCCCTTAATAATATCTCTCAAATCATATAATGATATGTAATTTATCATGCTGTCATATACTATTGTCTTCAGGGATGGGAGCTGAAGCTCGACGAGAAGCCAATGACGACGTTCCAAAACAGGGATAAACACCTGCAATCATAAGTAATAATTCAATTGCGCACTTATTTATGAACACCTTTAAAATATTTAAAAAATAAATACTAACCTTATCGACCTCCCACCATGCAGGATAAAGTTTAGCTTGTCCATTACCCAACACATATGATTCATCTCGTTGATTCTTCCAGTGAACTACGTGAAAAGACGTCGACATAATTGTATATCGCGTATTTTTTTATTTTTCCTCATTTTCCTTATTATTAGAAAACGTGACACCCATGCATCAATATGCTGTTTTACAAAAAAAAAAGACATATATTAGTGAATTACATAAATTTAAAAAAAATTAATCAAAATGAAATATAAGAAAAATATAAGACTTACCCCCCATCGGAATAGTCATTGTCTTCAACCCCTAATAACACACCCCACCAAGACCGATCAAGCAACAAATGCATATCATCGTTGAGTTTGTATATGTCAGCGTAACACCACTGGCTCCGCTCATGTAGATAAAAATCAACTGTGGTCTTAGCCCAAAGGGTATTATCCAGAATTGTTTCCGGTAGTTTTCTCCTCTCCACTTCAGATACCGGAATGGTACTGGCCGGTAACTCATACGAAAGCCAACACTCATCCATCATGTCCGGCACGTGAGAGGGTTTCTCAATAATTCGACATATTACGCCATGTGAATCGGGCTCTTGAATGGTGGGAGGGACCTCTTCAACGATGACAGGAGCCTCTTGAACGGTGGGAGGGGACTCTTGAGGGATGATAGGGGCCTCTTGAACGATAGGAGAGGCCTTTTGAACGATGACAGGTGAGTCGGGCTTCTTCTTACGGAGTCTTCGTACTATTGGGGTGAACGGAGATGTAATGGCACGTGCACGCCGTCTGATGCGTGAACCCTGTCGTGCAAGAAAAAGCCGACGTAAAGCATTCACCTTATCGGGCCGCTAAAAATAAATTAATACATAAATCAGTAAATAAACAGACATGATATTAAACAGTGAAAACAAAGACAAATATGTTTCAAACTTGCACGGTATTCACCCAAGTCATTATTCTATCATAGTTTACAAAATGCATCAGATAACATTCCAGAAGTAAGCACTTATATAAACATTTAAAAGGACAACATATATGTTTAGTGCATGTTCAAGGACAACATAAAGAGTAGTAGTTTATTCTTGAAACTTAAAGAGTAGTAGTAGTAGTAGTTTAGTGCATGTTTAATGACAACATAAAGAGTAGTAGTTGAAATTATTTAATTTAAAACAAATGAAATTAGAGTTAAAATTAGATTATTATAAATCATATAAATAAATAAAATCATAGAAAAACAATGAAAGAATTAACTAAAATAATTCATAATATGAAAAATAACATTAAGACAACAAAAATAACATTAATGAATAAGGTAAACAAGAATCCTTTACAGTGTGGCTTTGCCTTGGTGTGAACTCATCATATCCTACATACAAGATAACTTGAGGTTGAAAAACATGCTAACAAACCTAACAAAAGACACAAAGCCCTAATGTAGATGCTAAGAAACTATAACTCATGCCATTACAGTGAGTATATATAATTTCAACCCTTTATTTAAACTTGCACAAGAAACACTCACTGCAACCTGTATCGCTTCGCTTATTCTCGTTGATTTATCGAGCGAGCAACGATAAGTTCTTCTAAGTAATCAACGTTACCGGAATCCGAAGGCATCAAAATTTCTTCGTCGGTGGTAAAATTGTATCGTTCCCCGATAGCTCTTATAAGCTGGTATACCTCAAACATGGTAGGCCTCTCCTTGGGAGGTGGCAATACACAGTTACAAGCAACTTTAAGAAATTGGAAAACTTCATTATCAACACCCTTCCCAACCAAGGATGTGTCGATAGCGTCGTGAAGTTTTCCATCGTTAGATAGCTGTGTAATCCACTCTACCATACTTCCTTTGAAGCCATCGGAAGCTTTGGCTACATGGGTTGGTCTTTCACCGGTGACCAACTCAAGAAGGACGACTCCGAAGCTGTAGACATCTCCTTTCGGAGTGGCCACAAGAGTTCTGGCATATTCAGGGGCAACATAACCTAAATCCCCAAACTCGCCATTCACAAAGGTGCTCAGATGTGTATCTACTGGGTTCATGAGTCTAGCAAGACCAAAATCGGATATTTTGGGCTCAAAATCTGCATCTAGTAAGATACACTTGGAGCTTATATTTCGATGAAGTATACGAGGATTGCAGTTGTGGTGGAGCCATGCAAATCCTTTGGCAGCCCCCATACCAATTTTAAGCCTCAAGGACCACTCCAGCGCTCGGTTAGCATCATCCTCAGGATGCAAGCTATCATGGAGAGTACCATTTGCCATGAATCTGTAAACTAAAAGCCTCTCCCTCTTCGCCACACAGAAACCTAAAAGGGGAACTAAGTTACGGTGTTTCACACTTCCTAGAGTAGCCATTTCAGATGAAAATTCTTTGTCCGAGTGTTGAGAATTCTGTAACCTCTTAATCATTAGCGAGGTGCCATCTTCAAGGACTCCTATGTACATCGTCCCTGTTCTTCCTGAACTGATGATATTATTCTTGTGGAAACTGTTTGTCGCCTTCATAAGGTCACTTAATCTCATTCTGGCAACCACCTTTTCAAACATGGAAACCTGAAATAACATCAGCATTCACTACATCACATATCAAACCATAATCAAAGAAAAAGTATTAGCTCCAAATTTTATATGGATGTATTAATATATACCTGGATGCCTTTAACTCCCTTTAAGCTCTTGGTCCATTTGTTTCCATCTGGATCATCATCCTTCTTCCTCATGGAAGATAATCTGCGTTGATAGAAGAAGAGACCGATGAACACACCTATCGCAGCAACTGTCACCCCACCAACAGCAGCCCCAACAATCACTCCAGTATTTGTGTTCTTCATAGTCGCCACACATGGATCCAAAGGCTTCCCGCACAGTCCAGGATTACTTGCAACACTTTCAGCGGATAACGATAAATGAAGAAAAACCGGAATTGGCCCTGTCAAGTGATTATCAGCTACACTAAAGGTTTTCAACCTACTGAGCAAGGTGAGTTCTGGAGGAATTGGACCCGTCAAATTGTTATGGTCAAGGTTCATTATGTTTATGAAGCTACAATTTGAGAGGTTTCTCGGGATAACTCCAGAGAAATTATTAGATGAGAGATCAAGGGAGGTGACATACGGGATAAGGGTGGAGATATTAGGCGGAATCCTTCCATACAGCTTATTGCTTGAAAGATCTAAGCCTGTCATGCTCTTGCAGTTTACAATTCCTTGAGGGAACTCACCCTTGAGTCCCATATCCGAAAGCCTGATATTGAGAACCCTATTCTCATCCGGGTGCCAACAATCGATACCGGTGAACCTACATATATATCCTTCGGTATTGTTGTTGAAATTCCAAGAAGAATTTAAGTAGCCAAGAGTGTCATTAAGCGAAGCTTTGATGCTCTTCAAACAATTAATATCATCCTCAGTAGCAGAGCTCAAACTACAGCCGAGTAATAACAAAACGAGAGCAAAAACTCGGCTATGCAACACCATGATCATGAAGAAACGCCTCGAATCGAAACTGAAACGGTGAATTAGAGCAATTCACAGGCTTAAACAGATAATGTCAAATTCACTAAACCATGATTCTTCGAACATTTAAACCTGAAACGAGTTAACAGAAAGGAGAGCATACCAACAAAATCCAGAAAACAAAAATTCAAAGACTCCCCTTGGGTATCTCAAGTTTTAACCAAAGAAGACCAAGGAACGGGCAAAAGGGTAATGGAAACTACAAGGAAGCATCCTGCTTGGCCACAGAGAAACTTAAAGAGAAGACTCCAATAGTACACAAAGTTTACTCCACGGTTTGAATATTCAAAAGCATAGTTGGAATTTTGGTATTGGGTATTGGGTATGATCGGGTCAAACAAGTAATGGGCAATTTAAATCGTTTCCAAGCAAATGGAGGGGACGACTGGAGTGGCCCTCAAAAGACGACATAGACTTTTTTGGTCGTTTAGTGGCTCTTTGCTTGACTTCCGAGGGTGAGTGATAACCATCGTGATTCTCGGTCGTGTTCATATATTACTTTTTAATATTATATTAAATTACACGTAAGATCATCTAATTATATGTTTAATAATAAATATAATATTTTTTCTAAAAATTATATACATATTATTTAGTTAAAATATTATTATCAAAATACTTTATCGTTAAATGTCAAATATAATAATAATAATAATAATACAATCTAGTCTAATAATAATATTAATTTTTAAAACTTAGTCAACTAAGTTCTAATCTAAAATAATTTTATTGAATTTAATTATTTATACTTAAAAATCATATTATTTTTAAGAAAATGATAGATATGATGTTTGATTTGTTGTTATTATTATTATTTTGTTATTAAAAGTATATATTTAAGTGCTTTATTTCTAGGGTTTTGCCTTTTTATCCTCTGTCGTGTGGTAGCTTTGGGATTTTTGTCCTTCTAGGTTTTTTTTTGTTTGTGGTTTGATTTGTGGGTTTTTATTTCGGGTGTTGATTCCTTGTTTCATAATGGGAGACGTTGAGCAACAATTGGATGCGTTACAGTTAAGGGAAGAGGAATATGAAGCGTTATCTCTGAACGCTTTTGAAAAGGAGGTCGGGTTATCGTTTGAGAATTGTTTTATTGGTTTTTTCATATGTCTAGCATGATCAATTTCCAAGTGATGCGTACTACGGTAGCTAATGTATGGCACCCCATTGGGGGGATTTTCGTATCGGATTTGGGGGAGGGGTTGTCATTTTTCCGTCTATATCATGTCGGTGACGTATACCATATTGAGATGGAAGGGCCTTGGTATTTCAATGCCCATTTATTGGTTCTGCATAGATTGAAGGAGGGAGAGGATCCAATGCTTGTTCCTCTACAAACAGTTGATTTTTGGGTCCAAATTAAAGAGTTATCAAGAGGTTATATTTTTGAGGCTGTAGTTAGTCAGTTGGAAACTTCATCGGTATTTTCCTTTCATATGATGCATCGACTATTTTGATAGGTTATAGGGGTTGTATTTGGGTTCGGGTTCAGCTTGATATTCGCTATTCGCTTAAACGTAAAAAGAAATTAGTATTGTCGAATGGTAAACATGTGTATGCACTATTTCAGTATGAGAAATTACGTCTTTTTTGTTTTCTATGTGGCAAGCTGGGCCACGGTGAGGGCTTTTTCCCTTTGTGGATATTACAAGAGAAGAAAGATGTTGTTTTTCAGTGGGATGTGTCTTTCCGGGCATCTCCAAGATAAAGGGGGATTCCTACAAACTCTTGGCTACGTGATGATGGGGAACCGATCAGGAAGGAACACACTGAAGGGGGCAAGAGTTACGCGGGTTCATCAACGAGGTCTTATAGAGATGGCAGGGGGTTATAGCTTATATGAATCGACACTTTACGAGTGCCCCTCGGACTTGTAAGGAACGTGTTAATATAATGGCTCAACAAACGGTTGATGATGTTGTTATGACAGGAGTAGAGGAAAATTGTCCCATAGAAAAGATTGATAGCTTTAAACGTCAGTGTCATTCTCCTAAGCATGGGGTGAGTTATGGTAACCAGAATTTAGAAGGAGAAAACATTATTCCAACGGCAGGTCTGCACAGTCAGGCCAGCCGATCGTAATGAAGCTCTTTAGTTGGAACGTCCGGGGTTTGAGGAAGCCTCGGAGGGTGAAGCGTCTTTGCCATATATTGTGAGACGTTAGCCCGAATGTAGTTTTCTTGATTGAAACAAAACTACAAGATACAAGTATGAAAAGAGTTCGTCGATTTACATAAATTTGAATGGTATTGATGTTAGCTCGCGTGGTAGTTGTGGTGACTTGTGTATGGCGTGGTGCAATGACTGCGATGTCTAGTTACGATCGTTCTCTAGCATGCATATTGATGTTTTGATTTCTGACAAGGATGATGGTTCTACTTGGTGATACACTGGCTTTTATGGGGCACCTGAGGAGCAACGTAGATATATTTCATGGAATATGTTGAGCCAATTGACTGATGATCAGGTCACCCCGTGGCTGGTTATTGGGGATTTTAATGAAATTCTGCTTTCTACTGAAAAGAAATGGGGTTTGGTTCTTAATGAGAGGCAGATAGATGTTTTTCGGACTGCATTATCTGATTTTAGATTGGTGGATATTGGTTATAATGGGGCGTGGTACACTTGGGAGCGTGGTCAGAGAGTTGAAACCAACATTTGAGAGTGCCTGGATCGAACTGTGGCATATTCAAGATGGTGGGAGACTTTTCCTAATTTATCTCTTACTCACTTAACATATTACATGTCTGATAACTGCCCTTTATTACTGAACACATCTCCGATGACCAGATTAGGGCGAAGTGGCATTTTAAGTTTGAGGCTTCTTAGCTCCCTGAAGAGTCGTGCGAACCTGAAGTTCGTAATTTATGGTCTGACTCGACAGGGTCATTACTGGACATGTTAGATCATGTCATGAATGACCTTGATAAATGGTTCAAATAGATCTGCAAAGACAAGCGACTCACTGAGGCAGATTTGAAGAAACGACTAACGGACCTTATGGAGCAATGAGGTACTTGATGAAATGATAGTTCAACTTAATTTAAATTTGGAAATGGATAAATCTGAATAGTACTGGGAATAGAGAGCTCGAGCTAATTAACTCCGGAGACAATAATACTGTTTTTTTCCCATAGATTTGTGACACAAAAGAGGCGTAGAAATTTGATTCAAATATTGGAAGATGAAGCTAGTAACTGTTATGAAGATGAGAGGGATATTAAAGCTTTGGCACGGGAGCATTTTCGCGCTTTGTTTCTGTCTGACGGAAATTATTTTGATAGTTTCATTTTGAATGGGATATCTCAGTTAGTCACCCCTGAGTTGAATGTTGGCCTTATATTCGATTTCGCATATGATGATGTTACACGTGCGGTTAAGGATATGGGCTCCCTTAAAGCGGTGGGCCCCAATGGGTTTGAGGCAGTGTTCTATCAGCGTTTTTGGCATATCATCGGTAGGAATGTTGTTGAGCTTTGTCTTGGATTGATCTCTGGTGTCTATAGTTTTAAGGATGTAAACATGACCCATATTGTTTTAATCCCTAATGTTCATTCCCCTTCGAGATTAAACAATATCGACCAATCAGTCTTTGAAATGTTTTGTTTAAAATTGTTTCTAAGATGTTGGTTAATAGAATGAGGAGCCTTTTAACTCTTTGTATTGATGAATCACATAGTACTTTTGTGTCAGGCCGACAGATTACTGACAATATTATTACTACTTACGAGATGTTACATTCTTTTGTTAATAACCGATGTGGGAAGAAATAGTACTTTGCTCTTAAACTCGACATGAGCAAGGCCTATGATCGGGTAGAATAGTTGTTTTTATGGGCAGTCATGTCAAAGATGAGCTTCTCAGATGAATGGATTTCATTATTACGAAGATGTGTTTGTTATGTTTCCTATTCGATCATCATTAATGGAGTCCCAGGTGAGGTCTTCTTTCCCCAGAGAGGAATCGACAAGGGGATCCCTTGGGCCCATATTTGTTTCTTATATGCAGCGAGGGGTTATCATCTTTAATTCGACAGCCAGCTACTATGGAGAGATTTCACAAAGTTCGAATTAATCGGTATGCCCCTTTAATTACCCATCTTATGTTTGTGGATGATTGTGTCATTTTTGGCGAAACTAATGGGGCCAATGCAAGTGCTATAAAGGATATTCTCAGTATTTATGGGGATAGTTCTGGCCAATTGATTAATTTTGATAAATCAGGGCTTTTTGTTAGCTCCAATGTTGTTGATTCGAATCAGGCTGATGTGAGTAGGATCTTAGGGGTATATAGTTCTTCCAATCCCGAGAAGTATTTAGGGTTTTCTGTTTTAGTTGGAAAAAGTAAAAGAAAGGCTTTCATCTATTTTAAGGAACGGATTATGGCCAGAATCAACAAATGAAGTATTCGATGTTTTTCCCAGGGTGGTAAGGAAGTCTTTATTAAATCCGTTTTGCAATCCCTCCCCCTCTTTGCAATGACTTGATTTATTCTCCCGAAAAGTTTGTGTAATGAGATGAAAGGTTTTCTAGCTCGTTTTTTGTGGAAAAATCGCTTGATAAGTGTGGTGTTCACTGGTGTACGTGGAAAGACCTATGTGGGCTTAAAGACTGTTGACGACACATGCCTCTCTGGTTATTAAGTTGTTACGAGCTAAATATTTCCCAGGTTCTAATTTTCTTCAAGCTCGGCTTGGCACTAATCCGTCCTATGTATGGCGTAACATCTGGAGTGCTCGTGGTCTTCTTGAGATGGGTATGCGATGGAGAGTTGGCTCGAGGTGTGCTATCTCCATCTGGAATGATTTCTGGTCGCCGGTCACCCCCACTTAGGATTACTAGCCCAAGAGTTGGTACAGTTGAGTGGGTTTCTGAGTTACGACATCCAAACAATAATGAGTGAAATGAACAGTTGGTGCGACAGCTCTTTACAGCCGATGAGGTTGATCAGACTCTTTCGATACCTCCCCCCTCGAACGAGATGACTGACTGTAAGGTGTGGAGTGGGGAACAGATCGGGTTATATATTGTCCGAAGTGGGTATCGCAT